AACACCCGCCGACAACACAATAATCTGGACGCTCGATTGGCAAGAGCCATTATTCGTCCTATGAAGACTGGACTGGACTGGACTGACTGACCTTGGCGGTGTGCGGATACCGTTTCTTCCACTTCTTGGTGCGCGTTGGTCGTCGGCTTGTGCTGTTTGTTTGTTTTGATGTCGTTGAAACTAGTCAAACCATTCCATTTATTCTCTGCTCTCCTGAACGGTATACGCATGTTTTTTCATCTTTATTTCCTGAACGTTGCTCAATAATAAAAATCGACTCGTTTTATCCAATTTTTTAGAAGTTATTATTATCATGTGCAATGTAAGCATTGTTTTGTGTGCAATTATCTCACCGCATAGGCTGACTTAATCAATCCAATCCAGTTTTCAGCTTGCTGTTGTAATTTAAATGGAATTTCTACTCGTGACGGTTTACTTTTTATTCCCGCATTCTGAACTCATACTCTCTTGCGATTTATATTTATGATCGGTCTCCTGCCCATTGGGAGCCCTCGCAGATCTTTGAAGAAGTACCTGCTGATGCAGGAAAGTCCCATGACGTAAGGCCCCTGGGTCAGCCATCAGCACTAGAATCAGCTCTTGCTGCTGCATGCCTGAGGTTCATTAATACACGAACTGCGAGGGCTAGTCTTTGCACTAGATGACGGTCTTGGTCACCTGATGACGTTGCTGATTATAATTCTCCAACGTGTGCAATTAAAAATCTTTGGAACCGATTGCCATAAAAGCTAACAGAGCTAATATAACTGCTATATATATATATATGTATATATACATACAACGCCTAACCTATCTGAGCCTTATGTGGTTCACCACTCCAAGTCCTGCTACTTAAGTTCCTTGTTTCCATCATTGAACAGTAGGTCCTCGTGACTATGGGATTTATCCCGTCTGCCGTTGATCGCACGAAAGTGTGAATGTGTGCCAAACCAAACATGGTACAATAATCATGTTCTGTATTTTGGCTGAATACTGCCAGGTTGCCCACACCAAGGCAGGTCAATTTTCTGGAGGAATTCAAAACCGGAGCCTTCGGCTAGCCAAAGCTTGACCCGCTAGACATCCGGACGGGGTGTAAAAACCCATTGGGAGCTGGTGTCGAGTTCATCGGACCATGCGCCTTTCGGACGGGGTCAAACGCCCAAGGTGCCCAATACACCTCGGTGACCAATCGCGCCGGTAACCACTACCACAACCACGAAGGTGTGTGATTCGTACGCCTCTTCTTGGTTGGTTTGGAATCAGGGTTTTTAGCTAACTTCCCTAGGTGAACTACCAGTGGTCAACTAACCCGTTNNNNGGTGGGAAAACACCGCCACGGGAAGGCAGTGAGTAAGGCTTACTCAGCAGAGGCTATTTGAGATCATTGGGCGTAAGAGAGTATTTCGTGAGGTGCTGTAGAAGGGTGACCACCTGCAACCCTAGACACCGACCACCAACCATACTAAGGTTTTCGAGGCCTCCGGGAATAGATTAGCAGAGACTTCACGTGCCGGACGGTACTTTCGGAAAACTTCCGTTCGACCTGCTCACAGAGCATTCATGGTCTCAGCACGTCACAAGTCAGACCAAATTCCGGATTGATCAATCCTCTTCACTGCTAGATCTTGTCATAATAGGTGACCAGTGCAGTCGATTTGGACTGATCACACTTCGCCTTCACTTATAATCCTCGGTTCTTCCAGACAACCATACACTCGAAAAGCAGTAGACTGTCTCCTTCCGTTGCTCAAGGTCCCATAAATTGAGTGACTACCGCTGAAGACTACAAATGAACATATCATTCTATAATGTTGGTGTGAGCTGGTTGGCACGGTGGTAACGCTTTTCACGCGATGGTTCCTGAGTTCAAAACCCGGAAGGGACGTTAAATAGACACTAGTGATGAGCTCTGATACGAGCGAAACTCGAGTCTAGTGCTTCCATGCTTAAAATAACTGAGGATTGTGTGTCAAGATGAAAGTTGGAGGATAGTCTGTCTGTCATGGCTAGGAAAAGTTGTGTTTATTCATCTCACTTCCCTGTTAGAAACTTGTTTGATGAGTGTACTGGGTTCAGTTCTTACTGTAGATGTGCACGCTTGGTTATACTGGTTTTCATGCTGACGGTGGTGTAGTGGTTTATCTACTGCCACGAACATTCCTTTGACTCTGGTCTGAGGTTCGAAACCCGCTACCGCCACTGAACGCTTGTGAAACTGCACAGAAGAGTTGAAAGCGACGTTTGTGGCCGTCTGCGACAAACTAATAGACAACATATTTTTTTAAATATTGTACACAATACTACTCTAGATGAACGCAATATGTTGATTTCGTTTCAGCCAGAACAGTGTTTTAAGCAAGGTGTACTATCACTTTCAACAACCCATTAGTGATCTCGTATATCAGATGACAATCGTTCATCTTTCAGCTCTCATCCACTCGTTGAATTTCTATTTCATATATTAAAACAAAGACGCGTAATTTACGAACAATCAGACTAACGGTTCCCGGATCATGACATCATACGAACGCATTGTGGATCGTGTTTGCAATCGCACGTGCGATCGGTTTTGTTTTTTCGATCAGAAGATTGCTGTAGAAAAGTTGACAGGTCTAAAGCTCCTCGCGGAGCGTATTGAAGAACCCCAAGACAAAGGTAAGTTATCCGATTCACTGTTTTTTCCTAACCCTTTACCCTTGTTGTTTTAGTTACACATGGTAACGATCAGAATACTGCCACCATATATGTGTCTTCCATGGATAAATTCACCTGTCAGTTGTGTAGTGTGGACTTTCCCGATACAGATTCAATGGTAAGCTTAATTTTTGTTGTTCTTATCTGAGACCCTTTAAGAGGGAACACTTCAAATCAGATCTTCATGTGTACAAAATGAATATGTCTTTGGGCAAATCGATGAATCTGACAGACTCAATTCCGAAGGGAATGGAATTCGCGAATTGTACCCCCACGACAACAAAATCCACCTCAAAATTTTATGAATCCAGTCAGACAGATTCGACCGCTGAATCTTGTCCTTCTCTGGCTGCATCTTCCCATAAACAAATGGTCTACTTTCGAAGCAGAAGCGGTGAAATAATCGGAATTCATCGATGTATTTTGTTCACACGCAAAGTGAGTACATCTTTGCATCTATGAGCGAACACAGTTATGAATGCAGTGGAGGGGAGTCATTTGGTTTTCTGTTTTGCAAAGCAGGGGTTTGATTACAAGAACGACGCGAAGTTCCCAAACGTAAGCTGTCTGATAGAACATCATGGTATAAATCACACTTAAGACGCGTAGTACTGAAAATAATCGATCTTTTTATTTGAATGTTTCTGATTTTCTCCGCAGCAGTGCTAGCTAGCGTTGTCGACACATTCAGTTTTAGTTTGTATAACCATTAGCGATATGCTTTCGTGCGGCAATTTTGTTTGCTGTCTTTTGGTTGCCCATTTGGATGAAGGAGAAAGGTAGTAAAGTTGAAAGTAGTGTCGAAGAGAAAATGGAGGATTTCAGCGGACTAAGGTTGCAAAGAAATTGAGCGATGCACAAGTGCCACTGTTCACGATGCCCAGTGTTAGTAACCATTGATTACAATGATCTCGAGGTCCCTAGTCAGGGAGCCCCACCGGACCTATGTGACCCGGTCTCCTGGTTAGGGTTTTCATAAGCTCGTGCCAGGTCTTATTTTAACAACCCTTGGCTATTTCCACCCAGTACTTGCTTCGGAAAACCTCGCGCGTCGTTGCGACTCATAAGACGACATGCGTAACACATGCCACTGCCACCGTAACCTATGGAGGTTGATTAATTGCTCCATTGGACGACCGCGGTTTCCTAAGACTCCGCCCCCAACCTGCTGTACTGCTCGCCCGGTTTCTCTACAAGATTCGTGCAATGCTGTGTAGACCAGTATTCGAGCATCGAAAGTCTATGTTTATTATGTTTTCGTAATGTTCAGGTTTCTACGCTGTATAACAGAACTAGCCAACTGTTGCAACATAAACCGAACCCTTCACGCACAGCCGGATGTCGCGGCGGCACTGAAGATGTTTCAACTTGGCAAATGCCAATCGAGCCATCTGTATGTGTCCCTCGGATGAGATATAGCATCATGTTCATCATAGTACAGCGAAATACAGTGAGGCGAACTTCACTGATCGCTGCCAAACTCACAACGCATACAAGGTTTGTGGTAAAATTTACGGTGGAAAGGGATTGGACCTATTTTGACGGAGGGGGAAGAAGGTGAACCACTATGGTCAACACATATATAGTGCACAATCGTGCTCTGCATAAATACCGTTTCAAGCATTCCGATCTGATAAGAAACGACAACAAGAACGCCACTGCTGTCGGTTTGCTGCCATATCCGTCAATGTATCCAACCAACCAGTTGTGGAGTCTTTCGGACCCCAACCTGGAAGGCGAGAGACACCTGCTCTACCTGATGGCTCTGTGCATTTCTTCATTCCTCGTCTCCACGTCATCTGTTGACCTCCACGTGGTTTCCTCCAGCCCAGATTAGCTACAGCGAATAAAGCGCGGTGCGACAGACGATGACTGGGCATACGCAATACATGCCTAGCCAGCGAAGTCTTCTAATCTCAATACCAGCAGGTTTATACCTGATAGACTCCCAAACACACGACGGCTTATCTCCACGTTACTAACCCGTTCGCTCCATCCAACATGGGCTAAACTGCGTAAAAACCGATAATCGAAAACCTCTATCTTCTACTCCCAAATTCAGGGTTTCACAACCATAAAGCAGGACTGAACGAACGCCAGCACAATATACACAACCTTTCAACTTCAGTGAAACGTCGTGTTTACGCCAAAAGTGTTTCAGTCCTGCGTATGCTGCTCGAGCCTTGGAAATGCGGGCGGTTATCTCGTTTGCTGCACTACCGTCATTGGTCACGCAACTACCTAAGTAGGAAAAGTAATCCACCACAACAAATTCTTGGCCATTTAGTTTCAGAGCGGGTGTAGATGAAACCCAGTCCTGCAGCATCACTTACCACTTTGAAGGTACAAGGCACATACCGAATGTGGCCACTGCACTTGTTAATCTATCAAGTGCACTTTGCGCGTCCTCTATGCATTCGAACAGACAGACGATATCATCGGCGTACTCGAAATCGCACAGCTTTTCTCCAGCTGTCCATTCAATACGTACGTTTTGGAGTCCCCTTAGTGCGCTCTTCAGTATTTCGTCTA